ATTTCCATTAGCTATATGGAGTCTTTGACACACTAGGGAATTATTTCAAAATCTTCTTCTTTCAAATGTCATGTTCAACACTATATTTCTTCCTCAAAGTTGGACGTCCAAGCTCGCCAGCCAGTGAACAGTGTCACTAGTTAGATTGTGGATATTCTTTTTTTTCTTTTTGCTGACAGTTGTGCACTTATGGCACATGAGGAATCTGATCTCCAGCTTATCATCAACAAGTTTGCCAAAGCCACTCACTTCTTTGGTTTGACCATCAGCCTAGGAAAGACCGAGGTACTGTTTCAGCCTGCTCCAGGATCTGCTGCTCTGCCCCCTTCAATCTCTATTGAAGGAACAGAGTTAAAAACAGTGGAAGAGCTTAAGAACCTCGGTAGTGTGATAGCCAATGATGGAACCCTTGACAAAGAAATCAATGCCAGGATCTGCAAAGCCAATCAGGCATTAGGACGTCTGAGAGCACAAGTGTTGAATCAGCACAATATTCGACAGTCCACTAAACTGAAAATGTACAAGGCCGTAGTCTTGACCAGCCTCCTGTATGGATGTGAAGCCTGGATCTTGTACTGGAGCGCTTCCACACACACAGCCTGAGGTCATTACTGCACATTCAATGGCAGGACAGTCACAAACTTGGAAGTCCTTGGCAGAGCAGGAACCACAAGCATTGAAGCTTGTTGGACAGGGCACGTCATTCGAATGGAGGAGTGAAGAATTCCTAAGCAACTCCTCTATGGTGAACTCCCCCAGAGCAAAAGGAATCAAGGTAGGCCTCGCAAGAGGTATAAAGACTGTGTAAAGGCCAACATTGCTCATGCTCAGGGCTTGATGAACTGTGGCAAAAGCCACTCACCAGCCCTACACTGCGCATGCGCAAGAGCCACATTGCGCATGCGCGCCACCGGTAAACGGGGCACCGGGCTGAAATCTACACACCACCGGCGAATAGATACAATAGATTGTCGATCCCTGCTCATACTGGATTAAAGCCAAAGCAGATAGAGCAGCATGCAGAAGACCAAACAGGCTGGCATGCTCTCGTACGACATGCATATGACAACTTTGAAGAGCAGTGATGCATACGCCTGATTGATGCTTGTGAGAGGAGAAAAACAACAGTAGCAGCCACACTGATAGAGCCAGGACAATTCCTTTGCCCCTACTGTGAACGCCCATGCCGTTCAAGGCTTGGACTCCTCAGCAACATGAGAGTCCACAACCGATGAGCCTGTGCAAGCTCAAGACGTCATCATCGAACATGACAGACTACCAATAATAAATATTCTCCAATGAGCAAGTGAATTTTTGTGTTGGGCATTCTGTAACAATGTGATGCATCGTTTGTGGACTGCAGCAATCATAAAGTGGAGATGGCAACAAATTCCACTTATGCAGTAGATAACCACACCTGCCCTGCCCTTAGCCGGTTTAGAACACACCACAGTCTCCGGGGAAGATGGAAGCCTTTCTGCTCAGTGGTGGGATTGGACACAAGATGTTTGTTTGGGACGTCTACTCGCTGCCATTAGCTTGCCAGAGTTCCTTGACATTGGCCGTGACTTCCTTTGCTTGCTGCTAGGGAGTCTGACAAGATTTGACACAATGTTGATGGCTGATCAAAGCCTTCTCGTGGCGCTACTGTTACATATTTCTCGGACTTGCGCTATTAGCACTATCCAACTGACATAACTAATGTCGTCGACTAGTCACTGAACAATAAACACGTATTTCCCGGTTTGTTCAACGCTGTGAAGGATAAACTTAATTTGTTGTCAGTATGACCTCTGCGTGACCTGGATGTTAAGTCTGATCTTTGTAAAGAGGTACGTGCTTGAAAACAGGTATACAAAAGAAGAGGATAGGTGAAACTGGTTTCAACCTGTTGTAAGGCCTGCAAAGGGACAGTGAGGGGACAGATAATGATTGCAGAATTTTGTGCAAAGGGGCATGACCTGTGTATGCATGCAGCTGTAAGTGGTCAGTGGAAAAAGGGTAATTACCATGTAAAGTAGTACAAAAGACCTTGCCTTTTGTTTGGGAAGTGGCAGAAACTTTTCCTGAGTATCCTGGAGATTTTTGCCCTGGAATACATTCCTGAATAAAGCTGGTTGCTTAAGAAGGGTGTCCGGAATTGATTTGGTAGGGGTTTTGGGCCCCCATCCGAACCCTTGGATTATAATTTTCCGTCAGCCGTAAATGTCAAAATAACTAAATTTGAAATCGTAATTCCCAAAATAACTATTTTGAAATAAGCTTATTCCCCGAGGAAAGCAGGAGTGCAGATTTTGAAACAACCACACTTGTTATTTTGAAATGACAGGCTTGGGCTTGTGGGCGTGCCACTTATTTTGAAATAAGGGGGGAATTTATTTCAAAATAACACCCTAGTTTAGACCAGGGTAGAGAGGACTCTGTTTGGCTGTCCTTAAAAGTTGGAGCAGTTCTTCTTGGGGAAAGGAGTGACGAGTGGCTGACCTGGTCTGCAGCTACGGTTGTTGATAGAGTCTGATTTTCGCTAGACAAGGTTTGCATTTTTTTCAGCCCGCCTTGATTTAGGGCACAGCCTTGCAGCACAATTGCAAAAGGTGGGGTAGATTTGGCCAGCAGGCAAAAAGCATGGGAGAAAATACAGGAGAGAGGAGGATAAGGAAAATAATCCTGGTGGGGGAAAGTAGAGGCAGGAACATGAGGCTCACGTCCGTGGTGTTACACAGAAATGAGCTGGGGATGGGGATGGGGATGGGGATGGGGATGGGGATGGGAATGGCTCTCTGACACAATCAGACCAACAGGCCATACAGGATCCGGATGACCAAAATCCGATGGTATCTTAGTGGGTCCTCACGAGACGCCTCAAAGATGATGTTCACTTTCCAGTCCACCCACCCCACTTTTCTCATGTTAGAGACTCCACCCCCAACATATAACTCAAAACGGTCCCATTTGCACCAGTCGGTCTCCAGCGATCACTGACTTTCCTAAACAATTGTACAGACTTAGTCAAGTTTTTACCTGGGACAACGTACAGGGCAGGCCTCTGCTCAACCAAGTATATCATGCGCTGTAGGGGGAAACCGAGGCACGGAGCAATTAAATGCCTTGCCCACGGTCACACAGGGAGTCTGAGGCAGAGTCAGGGACTCTGTGTCCCACATCAGTGGTGTAACCACAATATCATCCTTAGTCCTCTCATATAAGCCTCCACTTTGGAAGACCCTCTTCCTCCTATCATTGTTTTTGAGCAGCCAGGACAGGCAGGACGGAGTTAAAGAGTTCACAAGCAACTCTCTTCGGGTATGTCTACACTACCACTCTAGTTCAAACTAGGGTGGTTAATGTAGTCATACGAGCTTGCAAATGAAGCCCGGGATTTGAATTTCCTGGGCTTCATTTGCATGTTGCCGGGCGCCGCCATTTTTTAATGTACGCTAGTTCGGACTCCGTGCCCGCAGCTACACGTTCCACGAGGAGTACAGGTAGTTCGGAATAGGAAGCCTACCTAGTTCGTGCCGCGTATAGCCGCGGGCACGGAGTCCGAACAGCGGACATTTAAAAATGGTGGCACCCGGCAACATGCAAATGAAGCCCAAGAAATTCAAATCCCAGGCTTCATTTGCAAGTTCATATGACTACATTAACCACCCTAGTTCGAACTAGGGTGGTAGTATAGACATACCCTTCATTAAGCTGGAGTTCAGGTTGAAAGTGCATCTCAGTAACTCAAGGGTTAAAATTATGGCTACAGCTTTGTAGTCCTGTCCCAGGCCTCGCACAGATAACCTGCATTCCCTAGAGAAGAGTCACAGTGAATGGAACCCCCCCAAACGCCTGACTCCAGAGGCCATTAATCCGGTGAGGGCAAGAGACAACCCCATGGCAGAGGGGTGCCCACCGAGCCCTGAGGCAGACATGGGACATGGACTAAGACGACCTAGTAGCTGCCTGGGATCTCAGGGGGGCGGGGCACTTTTGATCATGTTCTGTGTAGGCTCCTGTTTAACAAAAGACACATACCACTAGGGGGTGCTCTTTGCCATTTAACTGGCTGTTTGGACATGAGGAGAGAGAGCCTCCAACACCACACCAGCCAGCATGGAGGCGCTGTCATTCCAGTCAGGTCCCCAACAAAAGATTAAAGGGGCTTGCTCAATATGGCTGTTTTCTGATAAAGCGGCCGGGTTTTCATTCGCCACTCACTGATGCCGGAAGGAAGGAATCAGAGAGACACTCATATCGCTTCACAGGGGCCTGCAGCAAACGTCCGTCTATGGCAGACTAGAATCCTGCTTTATCCTTCCCAGCCTCCCTCCTACCGACTGAATGCAAAAGAGCTTTTATGGAGTGAAACAATCCAAGGCAGCACATGGTCCCGGGAGAAGTTACAGCTGCCTCAGCTAGGAAAAACAGGTGAATAAGAAACACAAGTGTTTGTTGACCAGGGCCCATTGGAGGGGAGAAAAGGGGGGCAGGAGTGGGAGGTAAAGGTGTTGGGATGAGAGAGGAGGAGACCCACATAGCAGCTATCCCAAGGAGCCGCTGTGCTCTGCCCTGGCGTCGACCTTTTCACTAACACCACCCTCCCTACCCGGTTTTTGCAGCAAGCAGACACACGACATCAAGGCCCAAGCAAGAACAGGAATGTGTTTATTCAGTGTGATGCTCAATCACCACAGGGCGTGCACTGCAGTCACTGTACATCAGAAAAGTCAACCAAGGCGCAGGAGAAGGGAAACAGTGTAAACAAACCAAACTCTAGCTGGGAGAGTGGGAATATATTTTGGCTTCCCAGCACTCAGTCTGGTGCTGATCCCGAGCAGGACGTGTATAGGCAATGTCTCTGCGGGAGTAAGAAAGGTGAGTTGAAATGTTCTGCTTTGGGGGTGGTTTGGGAGAAACATTTCCCGGTGAGCTTGGATCCTTTTTTTTTTTTTTTTAAAAACTCAACCTCATCAACTGGGACTAGGGGTATAAAAGCAGAAACCCAGGCAACATTATCCTCGGACCGGCCAAGAGTGCAAACAGGCACATCCAGAAGGGGGCAGTGCTGTTCGATTGGGCCTCCCACACCCAAACACATGGGAGGAAACAGTACAGATCTTCCGAGAGCCACAGAGAGGCACCCCAGCAGCAGCAGGGGAGGTCTTGTCTAATTATAACTGAGACAGAGTTTGCAAGAAGTGGCACCATCGGTAACCCCAGAACAGCTCTGCACAGAGGGGGGTTTGGTGTCTCACTGGAGAAAGTTCTTCAGGGCATCAAATTAATTTTTCCTGGTCCCATCACAGTCCGGCCCGGAGAGAGACGAAGAGGGCCAAGAGGGCTGTGGCCAGCACCATGTAGCTGACTTTCACGCTGCTGGCCCCACTGATGTTGCACAAGAAAGAACTGCAGCAGGAAATCGAAGCAGCCAGTACCCCGAGGTTTATCCCAGCGCTGGGGCAAACGGGAGCGCATCCTTTGGAGATGCTCTGTCTGGAGTATCCACCTGCACCAAAAGAGCAGAAAGACACTCATAGTTAAAATGGTCCCCAGGGTGCGGGCAGGGGCTCCTGAGCGAGACAAAGAGGTAACTACCGAAGTAGCTAAACAAGAGCGAGATGAGGAGGCCACGTCCCAGCCTTCTCTGTGCCAGCGAAGGCCCAGCCAGCAGGAGTCATTCTTGCTCTATCCCACGGAAACAGCACCAGTCTCTTCCTAGCGGTGACAGACATGGCAAGGAACCACCTGGGAGCATCCCCTCCTTGGGAAGAGCCAACGAACCCTGAGAATCCATCCCCGATTGTCTGGCTGGGCCCAATTTATGCTGGGACTAGGCCTGTAAGTCCCGTTAGCCGCTTAAACTTATTGGTTAACCAATCAAAGGGCTACTCAAGCTTGTTTGGAGCATCCCTCCCCCATGGCGGCAGGCAGGGTCTGCTCCAGCATCCTGGCTGAAATGGTTCTTGTCCATGGTGGGCCCCTCGCAGGAGTGTAGCAGCTGCCCGCGGCAGGCACCCCCATTCATTAACTGGTTAAACAGTCACATGCCCAGCTGGGACGGGGCTTTGGACGGGTAGTGAGGGCAGTGGGGTTGCCCGCCAGCACAGCCGGGACTGAGTCCTGTCTCCTGCCCCTGAGCCTCAGAGCTTTGGAGCTGGTGGTAGCTAGGTCACCGCCCAGCTCATGGAGCACCAGATGAGAGCTCAAAGTCACTCCCAGCATGGCACTGCTCAAAGGGCTCTGCCCCAAAAACGCTTTAACCCGGCCTCTTTTGTGCGCACAACAAGCCGGGCAGTGGGACTGGAGAGTGTGAATTCCTGCACACGCCACTAGTGGAACTTGACCCCAGCCCAGGAAGGGTCTGGAGCTTCAAACATCACCTGGGGAAGCGCAAAAGGAGGCTCGTGATGTAGTTACACAGGGCACCTGCAAGGGCCTGCGGCCCAACTGGTCCCATCATTGAGAAGATATCCCTGCGCAGCCGGCACTACTTTCGCCAGCATTACATTTGCCAGCACTATTTTCACCAAGGGAGCCATGCACATCCCCATGAAGGGGCTACTTCCAGCCCACTCAGAGCACACAGGCTGGCAAAGACATTGACGTGGCAGCTGAGTGCAGTTATGGGCGCTGGGGGCATGGCTGAGAGACCTCCTTTCCCCCGCAGTCGGGGCACAGGCAGCCCTCTTTTCCCCCACACACACTGGAGGGAAGAAGCCGTCTTCCCAGATTCCCAGGCGTGGCCTCCATTTCCCCAGAGTGCAACAGCAGAGGATCCACACGGCCCTTTCCAAAGGCTCCCTCGCGCCGCTCCAGGCTGGCAGCCATTTAGAGCACTTAGATCACTTTGTGCAGGAAGGAGTGCAGGGTCTGAGAGGGAGTTGTGACCTGGAGGAGGTGGACAGAGGGGGTACAGAGGGTTTGGGTGGTGACTTGGGGCAGGTAGCTGGGGAGGGTAGAGGAAGTGAGACGCCTGAGGCAGGCTCTGACTGGGAGGCACTTATCTAGGCAGCCTCCAGGCAACAGCCCTGCAGGAATAGGGCTGTTAGCACGTAGTCGTTTACATGACTAACCGATAAGCCTGACACAGAGGCAGCAAGCGGGGGGGGAGCCGGTGGGGGCAGCCTCCAGGCAACAGCCCTGCAGGAATAGGGCTGTTCGCACGTAGTCGTTAATACGATTAACCGATAAGCCTGACACAGAGGCAGCAAACGGGGAGGGAGCCGGTGGGGAGCCTCATTCAGAGCTTCCACCAATGCCGTAAGAGGGCCCGAAGCAGGACAGGGAGATACAGAGCCCCGCTCTCCCAGTGGCATCCAGGAAACCTGATGTTGCCCCTCAGTCGCTCCCTCACCTGCAACCCTCACTCACCAACCCAGGGCTCCTGCATTTGGTGTCACGGAGCGATTTCCCACCCAGCTCCCGACCAGCCACATCCCATCCTTCCGGCAGCAGAGAAAGGAAACCCCAGGGATCCGGATTGGGAGAGCGCGATGGAAAAATAGGCAGAACGTGCCCAGACCTACCAATTCCTGCCCCCACATATGTGGTCACACAGTAGTTTGCCTCACTTGGACACATGACTGGTCTCAGACAGCCCCAGTTGGAGGCGGAATCATCACAGCTGAAGCAGAACAGGGAGTGAGCTGCAAAAGGAAAACACACCCGTTAGACTGAGGCTAGCAGGAGCAGTTTATCTGTGGCTGGTCTACAGCCCCCGGGGCTGTGGCTGGCTGCTAATGTGCATCGCTGCGGACCCTCCCCATGTGTTCTCAGCCACTGCCAGAAAGAGATTTTTTCTGTCCAACAAATGAGCAAGGACTGCAGCCAAATGACCGAGGGAGTGGATTTTTCGGTTGTGTGCCCAGCTGCTATTTATGCTTCTGCCGAGCTCACCCTCTGCAATACCAACCTGGACAGACTCTCTCAGCCTGCACCTTTTCTAAGCCTTAACTCTACACACAGGATCACAGGTCTAAGGAAAAGCCAGCGGGGACTGCCCAACCAGCCGGATTTTTTCTCTGACAGGATTCCTAACCTGGAGCAGCAGTGCACAACCCGTGGGTTGTGTCCCCCCACGGGGGTCGCAGCTGTCTTCCAGGGGGGTTGCAGCGCTGGCTCGGCATACATGTGGCAGAGCTCACTGGGAAATGTTTATCCCAAACCTCCCCCAAAGCAGAACATTTCAACACACTTTTCTTACTCCCCCAGAAACTGAGAGAAAGCGTTAACAAAACTGGCCCCGGTTAGGCCTGAGACAGGAAGACTGAAGCAAGCATGGCAGTAGTCCTGAAACATGTCAACCTCTGCCATCGCCATGACGGGGATCCATTGTTCTCCACATCCACAGGAAATAACAGTCTTACTCTGCAATAAGGGGGATTTCAGTTAGAGGTTAGGAAAGGCTTTCTAACGACCAGGGTCGGTAAAGGTTGGGTCAGCTTCCCAAGAAGACTGTGGAATCCCCGTCACTGGAGGTTTTGAAGAACAGGTTGGACAAACGGCTGTGAAGGATGATCTCGGTTTACTTCCTCCTGCCTCGGCACAAGGGAGCTAGACTTAATGACAGCTTGAGATCGCATTCAACCTGATTTTTCTATGATTCTAGGACACTGGCTAAGAGAGGGAGTAAGTCTCCCTCTGTTGTTGGTGCAAGCAATTTCAACAACCTCTTACTGCTCAAAGTGTTCTCCTTGGGTGCCTAAGACACTAGGGTCAATGCCTTCTGAGGCCCATGTCTGTATGATGCAGTCACAGCCACATGAAGAAGATGTGTCATCCCAGATCAGACGCTCAGCATCCCACTCTTGGTAGTGATCGTTGGTTCATAGGAAAGCATAAAAATCCACCGCACACCGGAGCTATTGCACATGGGGAAAACCGGCTAGAGCCGGCCCAATATTATATAAAGGCTAATTTGCAAAGAGGCAGGTGCCAATAGATGGTGAGAGGTAATGGAAATGTGAGCTCACACTGGCGCTAAAACATGAGGCGTGAATGGCATGGTGTATTATTTATAGACTAGCCAATTAGCCCATCATAAGATGGGATTTTCAGGTCTTCTCTCCTGAGCTCTCTCGCTCCGTCTCTCTCTTCCTACTGCCTCCCCCCCCGCCCCCAGCTCTCCTCCGCCTCCTGCCTCTCTCTCCATCTCTTTCTCTTCTCCCCCTCCTGCCTCTCACTCTCCTTTTCTCTTAACCTCCTCCTCCTGCCTCTCCCCTCCGTCTCTCCCCGCCCCCCTCCCCCTTCGCCATGGCACTTGGCTGAGTGCTGCCTGCTCAGCCGAGCTGCCGCGAGGGAGGGGAGGAGGGGAGCGGAGCAGTGACATACACGGCCAGGGGGCGGAGCCGTGTACGTCACCACCCTCCTTTTCCCTCCCACCCCGGGGGAGCCCAAACAGCCCCTTGTGCTGCTGGCTCCCATGGAGGCCCGGCTGAGGGGCGCAGCACTCAGCTGAATGCCACAGCGGGAGGAGGAAGGGGGGGCGGGACGCACATGTACACGGCAAGGGTGCGTGGCCATGTACGTCAGCGTTACAGACGCACAGACACTGGGCTACTATATATATGATAGGCATCACATGGAAGACTAGAAAATTCAGTCTGACTTGCCAAACAAACTTCATTATTCTTATTATTACACTGCTAGAAGCAGGCTGAATAAATAGAGAGACAAGGTGCATTTCCTACAGAGCTTATAGTGCAAACTGGGCAGGAAGCAATGCATGAGGGTGACAAGGAAGGAAGGCATGGATTAAGGAAGAACAAAATTTGAAGCATTAAATTCTTCCTCAGGGCTTGATTTCACCATCTTTATGTAACCACCTTCACTGGTCACCTTCAGAGTTTGAACCTCGGCATCTCAGCAGCACAACATGTTGATATGAAACGAACAATTCCAATTGGCAGCATAAGAACATAAGAACGGCCATACTGTCGGCAGGACACCCTCTGATCTCAGCTTTGGCTAACACATGTACTAATGTCCCACGTTCCAGCAAGAGCTGGGGCATGATTAGACAAGAGGCCACATGGCATATAGGTCATGGTAAACATGGGGCTCTCTCCCCCTAAGTCACCTTGACCTAGCCTGCTCTCCACTGGCACAACAGCTCCAGCACCCTCCATGAAGCCCACACCTACTATTCTGCTTCTTGTCTAGCTGATGAAAAGAAGAGCAAGATTTTGAAATACTCCTCAGCAACATGCGTACAGGCAGAACAGGGCTCTGATCAGCAGTTGAACGCAGGAGTGAATGTTTCTTGATGGATCTTTTTTTTTAATACAGACATTGTGTGGGCTTATTGGCCCAGCTGCACTCCAACTACTATTACTGAGCACGCAGAGTGTTAAGATATTTGTGCTGTGTTTATACAGCTCCTAGTGTATTGAAGCCCTGGGTCATGCCTAGGGCCCCTAGCAGGGCAGGGTCAAAGCAGAAAAACAAGAGATGCTTTTAGTAAGACAGACTAACTGAACTATAAGAGTGGGCGTTCTGGAGAGGAACGCAGCTAGAACAAGCCGAGACCAGTCTTCCCAACAGCTCCACGCCCATCACTTCATAACAAGACTATATAGTTCCAAACACGGTAGCATCAAGTCAAAATGTCAGTGCCAGATCATTCCTACGGACTCATCACCCTTAATCTAGCTCATGTTCTTAGATTGCCCCCCACAGCCATAGCATCTGAGCACCTCAGAACCATTTGAGTATTTATCCTCACAACACCCCTGATTTTACATAGAGGGAAACAGAGACCCACTGAGGTTAACTAACTCTCCCAAAGACATGCAGGAAGTTTGTAACAGAACAGGAATTTAAACCTAGGAGTCCCAAGTCCTACCCCAGTGCTAGACCAACCGGATCACCCTTCCTTTCACTAAAAAACATTTTACGAACACATGTAAACAATTCTGAGGATGCATGAGCCAAAAGTGTCTATACATCTGACAGATCAAAACTGACAAACACAGCTAAAGGGGAGAGGAAAATGATTTTTTTCCATGATGCCAAATACTCATGTAGCCGGGGCAATTTACAACACTGTTCTATTTCTGCCCACAGCAATTACTGATCTGAATATTTTTTACATTTTATATATATATATATATATATGTGTATGTGCATTTTTCAAGTATCCTTGGACCCGAAACTATCCAATTGCTATGTGGCTAATCTGTGTTCCTCCCACAGCAACCCTATCCCAGCCCCATCCAATTATGCATTCAACCCACTTATTATACTGTGTCTTAATGTGGACTGTAAAATCTTCAGGACAGGAACTGCTTTTTAATATGTTTGTAAGCTGGCAAAATGGGCTCTGAATCATAACTGTGGCTTCTTCCTCCTCCTCTAATACGTACAATTAAATGTCTGAACTAGATTCATAAGATTGGTGTAAAGTATCAGAGGAGTAGCTGTGTTAGTCTGAATCTGCAAAAGAGGCAAGGAGTCCTGTGGCACCTTATAGACTAACCAAAGTGTTGGAGCATAAGCTTTCGTGGGCAAAGACCCACTTCGTGACCTGCCTCTGGAAATTTCCACTACATGCATCTGACAAAGTGGGTCTTTGCCCACGAAAGCTTATGCTCCAACACTTCGGTTAGTCTTTAAGGTGCCACAGGACTCCTTGCCGCTTTTGAAGGTTAGTGTAAACATCTAGCCTGACCACCTATTTAACACAGGTCAAAACAATTCCTACAGCAGAGCTTTTACAAAAAATTCCAATTTTTAATTTAAAAGTTACAGGTGATGAAAACTCCCCCGAGATCCTGAGTAAATTGTTCTAGGGATGTAAGTGAGTAGTGGAGCCGGGTACTTGATTACTCGCTCCCCACCCCACGCCTCTGCATCAGAGGCAGCAAGGAGGTGAGGAAATAGGAGCTGGTGCAGGGGGGAGAAGGCTTAAAAGCCCATTTCCCCCCAGCACTGGCTCTTCTGTGCTGCCTTCTTCTGCACCCCCCACCCCCACTACTGCCTCTATCAGAGTCAGCAGCACCAGGGGAGAGGGGGGAAGGCAGGCGGAAGACTCCAGCAGCAGCCAGTCTATGGGGAATCCCAGTGGTGAACTGGGCCCCCCTTCTGTGGACAGGGGCTGCTGCGGCAAAGCAACCCCTGTCCGCAGCGGCCTGGGCTGGCCACGGGCAGAGGCTGCTCTAGGAGTAACGGTAGTTCGAACTTGGAAGCCTAGTCCGAACTACCTAGTTCGTGCCGCGTGTAGCCGCGCGGCACGGGGTTCGAACCAGCCTGGATTTAAAAATGGCGGCGCCCGGCTTGGAAATGAAGCCCGGGAAATTCAAATCCCGGGCTTCATTTGCAAGTGCGGTATGCCTACATTACCCCGCTAGTTCGAACTAGCGGGGTAGTGTAGACATACCCTAGCAGACTTACCTGGTATTGTCCAAGTCCGGTCCTGGGGGAAAGCAGGGACCACTCAGGCCTCCAGCTGGCATGCCCAGGCTGGCCCAAGGTCACGGGCTGGGCCTAGCCCAGTGCTTGAAGGAGGGCCTGGACCAGAGATGGGGAGGAGCTGGGATCTGAGGTTGAGAGGGGGGCTGTCCTGGGGTCAGAGGACCAGCCCAGGGATTGGGGCCCCATGGGCTCAACTGTGGGGGAGAAAAAGTGTGTGTGGAGGGAGAGGAAAATAAGAAAGAACGGCTCTTGCGCAAAAGGGAAAGGAAGAGGAAATGGAAATGAGAGTGTGACATATGCAAATGAGTGCTTCATTTGCATTTCCTCTTGCAGAAGAGGCTCCTAGTTTAGACGTAGCCTTAGGCATATAAAATCCCAGGTAATCAGTTAACTGGTTAAACATCGTGTTTAACTAGTTAACCGATGAAATGAAGCAGAGACTGCTCTGGCCAGGCTGGAATGCCCGCTGACCATGCCTGTTAACCATAACAGGTAAGCACAACCTAGTAAGGGTGATGTTTACCCGCTAACAAGTTAACCATTCACCTACCTAATCCCTACTTATATGAAAACTATACAGCTGCATATCCCTCCAGTGGCCAGCCCCCCAAACATGTGCTCAGTGCCAGCTCCTGACCACCCACTGCTCAGGCAGCAGCGAGGGATGTGAGCCTGTGGACCGGAGGACTCAGGAGAAGCAATGGGCAACCATACTGTGGGCGAGAGAGACGTGGCACCCACTGCTCCTCCTGAGTCCTTCTGTCCACACGCCCAGGCTGCTCACCACCCTCTACATCTCGTGCCTGCTACCGAGGCTGCAAGGGAGCCTCTCTGCCCTGCAGACTGCTCCCGCACCCCACAGTTTCTACCCCCGCACCCCACAGCTTCTATCCCCACAGCCCGTTCCCCACAGAAGGGCCAGGAGGGGTGCAGATGCGGGGCTGCCTAAGGCATCAGCTTTGCTAGGGATGGCCCTGATTACCCATCCCACAGCTTTTGTATCAGCCATGTGGTTTTCTTCCAGGTCTCAGATAAGAATGTTAAATAGCCTAGGGCTACAAACTGATCCCCTCTTGAGACACCCCGACCCATTGAAGACGCCCCATTTACAATTACACTGTGACCCCTAGCAATCAGCCGGCTTCTAAGCCAGGCCTACACTACCAGTCATGCCAGCAAAATGCACGCTGCACAATGGTGTGAAAGAACTCCCATGAACGAAGTCCATCACCCTGCTGCCTTAAGTGCTGGTGCAAACAGGGCTGTCTCTCCCCGTGACCCAAACACAGCCTACCCTGGCTCGTTGGCGGGGGCCTTAATTCCATCGACAGGACAGCTCTCTCCCGTTGGCATGCAGCAGTTATCACAGGAGACCTTACAGTGGTGCGGCTGCCTGGGCACAGCAGTGCTGCAAGCTCTCTAGCGTAGGCACCGCCTCAGTCCACACGTGCCATGCTCAGTTTAGATCAGGGATGGGGAACCTCAGGCCTGGGGGCCAGATGGGGCCCACAGCTTCCTTGGATCTGGCCCCCGAGGCCCACGGCTCCTCCCCCAACACTGAGGAGCCCTCACTGGTGCTTCAGCCAACCTGCCGTCCTTCCACAGGGCTGAAGCACACAAAATCTACTAGGCTGGGCCCCCGTCCCAGGCTCTGGTGTGCCAGGGGAAAGCGGGAAGGGTCTTTCTCCTCATCAGGACCACGTCAGTGAGGGGCTGGTGTTTTTTGGGAAGGGAGGGGGGAGCAGGGTTTGGCTGTTCACTTGTGTGTGGCTCGGCCTGACTGATTTTTCTGACCCAAAAAAGGTTTCACATCCCTATTTTATATCATGCAAGTTTTTTCATCAAAATGTCACCTGGTGCCACATCAAATGCCGGCATTAGGACATGACACTAAAAACAAGAAGAGCTCATGAAAACTGTCTAAAAATAGAGAACATGACGGAGAGGGAGGAATGATTTCAGGAGGCTGTTGGCATAAGAAGGATTCAGCGGAACTACAGAGCAAAGAACCTAAGCAGTGCAAAGGGGAACAACAATCGATGCCAATCACAGGAAGAATTCGCAAGGGAAAAACACTTTTTGGGGCACAGCTACTAAGAACTCCTGAGATCCCACCCTATCCTCAGGAAATGCCTTAGATAAGACTTGTGGAATCTGACCTTGCAAAGAGCAGCGCTCAGATAAGGCCTTACAAACCAATGCAGGCAGTGGAAAGACTTCAGTTGCCAACACTGAGCAGCAGGTCAAGCCGTTACCGCCCACGCCCGCACTGTCAGGTTCCTCCAC